ACCACACTGGGAAGGGTGAAGACAACTGGGTTGCCCGGCCCTGGCCACGAGGTGTCCCTTATTTATTTTTCAGGGAGTTGGCAACCCTACAGAACGCATACCAGGAATACCTGGAATAGTCAGTCAAACAAATGTCAATTTATCTGCCAAGAAATAAAAAGATTTCCACACCGTCTTCATTAGGCAGTACCCTTAATCATTTAATCCAGTTCAACGTTTGAGAGCTGTAATGTGCAGCTGTCACTTGAGAAATAAACAACAGCATTGACAGCACACACTAGATTATACTTTGTTTTCAAAACTTAATTTGATGTGTTTCATCAGGTTTAACAGATCCTTTAGGTTTATTTTCATAGTCACTAAATTAGTGCAACAAGTCATTAAGGGGAGAGTCTGGCTGGTAAACAAATCTGACTTGTGGGACTACTCTGTTAAATGCTATACATGAGGAAGCTGGGTAGGCACTGCAGGCAGGTAGAGCTAGCTGTGTCTGCCCACCACCACTTTAAAAGTCTTTAGAAGCAGAGACTCTGACCCTTTAGACAGACAGTTGGTCGAGATTTCCTGTATGTAACGATGTACCAGTCAATTCATCAAACTTGATGTAAAGGAAAATCAAAGTTGTATGATGCTTCTCCAAAGCAGTTTGAACACAGACACAATATCTTCCTCTTATCTTACCTAACTGAACAATTACAATCATGCTGAGTGGAAACAGGTTATTTGTATCTAAATCTAAGACATGGATGCCAAAATATGAGGGATTTATAAATATTATGCATGCTGTAAAGACACTATACAGGAAATATGGACTACTTATTCAAACTGGTAACTGTAAGTTAGTACAACTGTTACAAGGCTTCAGTGCTTTTATCCATCTCTGTTTTAGAATTACAGCGCTCCCTCGTTTATCGCAGGACTTACGTTCTAAAAATAACCCACGATAGCTGAAATCCCCGAAGTAGCCAGCTTTATTTTTTACAATTATTATAGATGTTTTAAGGCTGTAAAACCCCCTCACTACACACTTTACACACTTTTCTCAGACAGGCATGAACATTTTCACACTTTTCTCTCTTGTTTAAACTCTTGAAGTTCAAACCTTCGTAGAAAAATAAGTCCAGTATTATAGAATGAAACCAGAGGTGCCCGCAGGTGACGACGTTTCGTCGACATTGTTGTGTCTGTTTGGCCAATCAGGACTCAGAACAGAATGCGCTGCACGAAAAAATAAAATAAAAAAATATCAAAAAAATTGCACAAAAAAATCAGCCAAACAGCGAGGCCGCGAAAGGTGAACTGCGTTATAGCGAGGGACCACTGTACATCCCTGCAGAATGGTTGCACGCTGCCATCAGGAAAAAATGAAGCAAGTAATAAAGTTTATCAGAGAAATCAATGATTTTAGATTCATTCACAAAGTCAACATACATCTTAATATACATGCATCGTTGTTTTCTAAAGGAAAAATCATAGTGCCTTTATGCCTACCTCATCATTAGCAAGATTATCAAGTCAGCAAGCTGTTTTGATCTTGACACAGTTGGTCCACCAAACACAAGCCTTAGCACCAAAATCTTTGTCCATTTGCATCATGACTTAAATAATTACTATAATGACAAAAAGTGCAGCTTTGACTCGAAATCTGACCCTAGAAAAGCGTATCTGTCTTCATTTGTACATTGTCTTCTCACAACCTGGGATAGCTAGGTTAAAGGGTTTTTTCATGCCAAATTAAAGAATGTTGTTACAATTTGTTAAAATACTTTCAGAGAAACACGTCTCTTCATAGTTCATCTCAAAAAGAAAAGGGTAATTGTCCTAATAAGAAATGTGGGCTGCACTGATATAAAGGTATTTTAAACAGAGATGAATACAGACAAAAATGCAAACCACGTCCTAACCTGGCAACATGGAGGATTGGAGAACAGGAAAAAGAAACTGCAGCTTGAAAACTCCACGATGATGAGTGGGAATAGTGTATCAAGTATATCTGTGTATGTATGAATTTCAGCTGCAAATCAATTTTTAAGGAAAAGTTTCAAAGATAAATATGTGATCAAAGAAGAACATTTCTAATGTCCCGCTCCCTGAATGTAACAGCCAGCCAGTTAATGAAAGAGGGGAAGCCAAACAGTCAAATCAATCAATAAATCAATGAACCACTTATGCCACAATCAGCACTTCTCCAAACCAGTTAAAACACCACAATTAAAGCGGCGGACTCACCGAGAACTCCGAGCCGGTAATTGATTGTGATGACGATGACATTTCCATAGCTGGCCAGGATGCTGCCATCAATCATGTTGCCAGTTCCCTCCATGTAGGATCCTCCGTGGATGTAAACCATGACTGGCTTTAACCCGTTCTCATCGTGGATATCTGTAGACAAGAAAATACAACAAAAATATCTTTTTTAATTGAACCCAATGATTTTTTTAAAATCAGGAACTCGTTTTCATGCAGAATGTGATTACATTTTATTTTGTTTACAACTTTTAAACAAATACACTAAAAGTGTTTTCAGTGCTATATTGGCACCTGAATCTACAAAAATCAGGAAGCGCACAATAATGTTTTACTGAGGTTACTAAAACAACTAAACAGACTAGATAAACAAATAATCTGAGCTAATATTCAGTGTTTCACTTTTGTTTTATGATCTGTTCTAAAGACAGTATGATAACATATAACATATACTATTTTAATGTGTTTTAGGAGAACAGGAAGCACAAATCAAATGTATGCAAAGATGACAACGTTTCTCTAACTTCCCAGACCATAAAGGGCTCCAGGCCGACTGTGTGGCACTTCAGTGAAGTGCACATTTGTTTGTCATTAGTGGAAAGAGATTACATCAAAGCATCAGATGCTTTAAAGACCTTAAGGCAACCACTGTGTTTTAATTGCGGGGCCCCATATTGACAGTGTCATGATCCACTGTTGGGTTCTTATATTTCACTTAATGTGAAACTTTCAAACTGAAAGTGGTTCACATCGTTTGAATCACAAGGCTCTACTTTTTGAAATAACAATTTAAAAAACTCAAACTTCCCTGTTTCAGGGGCTGAAAGATTATGAGGGTAATGACTATAGTGTTACCATACTATACGATACACAGATTATTGTGTGTATGGTTAGCAGAATGATGTAAAGTGTAAAAGGTCATTCCTCAAAATAAGATCCGTGGCTCCTCCAGTTCATGTGTCAAAGTATCCTTGGACAAAGTTCTGAACTTGTGCATTTACCCAGTAGGCACAGATAAATGCATGGTATGAATTTGGTGTAATAGACTGACTGACTCTTGTAGTAGCAAGCACTACTGCTCACGTTGTGTAGCATGGCACCTTTCTGTTCACTAAACTGGATATTCAATGTTATTTTTTACATTTCAGTAGAAAATATGACAACAAATTGTGCATTTGACTGGAAATTCATCTGGTAGCTTTTATATCAAAAAGCAAATACATCAATATAGTGTGACTGCTCTATGACGACAACACAGTTATGTCGATAACTTTTACAGTTACTACATAATTCACTTTCATTTCATTGAACACTGTCTGAGAGTCATTTCTCTGTGGTAAGAATTGCTGGTTACTGTTGGCAGGAAGCAAATATGTACGTTGTGTTAAAGTTTTCACGTGGCTCTGTGCAGTTCTGTTCCATACTGTGATTCAGCAGGTCCTGCCACAGTATTGAGTTGAGGTCTGGACTTTAACAACTGCAAGTGTCTCAGTGTTTATTTTGTACCTAATTCCATTTGTCAAAATAACCACATCTGTGGATAAATGCCACTGGAAGTGTTGAACTGATGACAGATTGGCTGAGGTGGGTTTTAATGCACAGCATCCTATATGATTAGTGTGCATTAACATCTGTGCATCCACTGTAATGAACATATGACCACTGTAAATTGTTTAACTATTGATAAGAAGAGTTTTAGTGCAGTGTTGTCATTTTAAAGTGATAAACTAGCTCTATAACATGTCTGTGAAGGTTCTCAGTCATCCAGGTCATCGTAGTCAAAGGAGCTTGCAAAGAAAAGCGTCTGGACTTCTTTAAGTTGCTTGAAGACGTTTCACCTCTCATCCGAGAAGCTTCTTCAGTTCTAAGGTCAAATGGTGGAGAGTCCCAGATTTAAACCAGTGGGAGTTTCCCCCCACAGAGGGACAAAAGGACCCCCTGATGATCCTCTAATCGCCTGAAGCTCCTTGGAAGACAGCGACCAACTTCACACCCCATCAGATCTGCACACTGTTAGACTTCTGCCTCATCCACCACATACTTCAAATACAACGAAGGCTTTTACAGACAAAAACATGGCTGTGCCATCCTTTACATGGAGGAAGTGGAAAGGAAGGCTCTTGGCTCTTTCAAAGGAAGAGTACCCAGCCACTGGTACAGATATGTGGACGACACCTGGGTCAAAATCAAGACACAAGAAGTGGAATCCTTCACTGCGCACATTAACGCTGTGGATAAAAACATCAAGTTCACCAGGGAAGACACAAAGGACAACTGTCTGCCTTTCCTGGACTGCGCTGTGCACATTGAAGAGAACGGCAACTCAACATCGAAGTTTACCGGAAGCCCACACACACGGACCAGTACCTCCTCTCTCTCCGGAACACAAACTTGGAGTAATTAGGACCCTACACCACCGGGCAGAACATGTTCCCTCTAAGCCTGAAGGAAAAAAGAAGGAACACACACATGTAAAGGAAGCACTCAAAACGTGCGGCTATCCTAAATGGGCGTTCTTAAAGTCAGCAAAGAGGCACAGAAAAGAAGACCAGACACCAGCGAGGGAGGATAAGAAGGACAGACGCAACAACATTGTCATCCCCTATGTAGCCGGTGTATCAGAGAAACTCAGGAGAGTTTTCTCCAAGCATGACATCCCGGTGCATTTCAGACCCAGCAACACGCTCAGACAGAAACTGGTTCACCCGAAAGACAAAACGCCAAAACACAAACTTAACAATGTGGTGTATGCTGTACAGTGCAGCGAGGAATGCCCAGACCTCTACATTGGAGAGACCAAACAGCCACTTCACAAGCGCATGGCACAACACAGAAGAGCCACCTCCACAGGACAAGACTCAGCAGTCCATCTGCATCTTAAGGATAAAGGACACTCTTTCGAGGATGCCAATGTTCACATTTTGGACAGAGAGGACAGATGGTTTGAAAGAGGAGTGAAAGAAGCCATCTATGTCCACTGTGAGCGACCATCTTTGAACAGAGGCGGGGTTACGACACCAACTCTCTGCCATCTATAATCCAGTTTTGAGATCCCTTCCCAGACGCCTTAACGCCCACTCACATCCTGGGCCATCTGACCTCAGGAATTCGCATGATAAGGTGGGGCCAGGTTTCACAATGAACACCCGAAACTCTGGCTGATTGGGACCCACACCCAGTTTCACACCTTGGCTCAGGCGATTAGAGGATCATCAGGGGGTCCTTTTGTCCCTCTGTGGGGGGAAACTCCCACTAGGTTTATATCTGGGACTCTCCACCATTTGACCTTAGAACTGAAGAAGCTTCTCGGATGAGAGGTGAAACGTCTTCAAGTAACTTAAAGAAGTCCAGACGCTTTTCTTTGCAAGCTCCTTAGACTATCTCTATAACAGCATTGTACACTGGCTAGGCTAGCTAGCCTCTGTGTAACTCCCTTGTAGATTTGTTGTTGTGCTCATTCTGCTGTTTCATGACCCAATTTTAGCCGAGCTGTAGCTGTGGGGCAGATGTCCTTTTCTCTAGAATACTTTGTGATGGACAATCGTGCTTTGTAGCCAAACATCCCCCCTCCTCACCTGTCCTCCGAACATTATTCCAGAAGCAGTTCATTACTGCAAACCTGTTTTTGCAATTACTCTGACCTTTGACCTCTGGCTTGGGCTGAATTTCCTGGGCTAACACACACCCGAATGCTCCTGACCAGCAAACCTTTGTGTTTATAGATGTGTTAGCTTCATTCCTGCAGACGCAGCAACAGTGTCCTTAGTTTTCCACATGCACAGAGTCCTGTGAAAACCTTTTGCAGTTGTGTAATATTCAGTTTAGATCATACAATCAATATGCAAGTTCTAAAAAACTATTATAGTGTGTACAGCGGGGACATTAGTTTGACCTTTCTCTTCTTTAGTAGGACCCTTCCATTTAAGTACCAGCCCATTTTAAAGTGGACATTTGAGGAGTGTTGTGCTGGAGATATGGTTTGACATTCTCGAGCACACCTGCTGGCTTTTACCCAGTAATCTCTATATCTGTCTGCTCTCCCACCTCCTCCTTTTGTTCTTTATATAATGCACAGGCAGCATGGCAATCAGGCCAGATGAATACCGTGTTTATGAAGCTGCCCAGCTGTGATTAAGCAGCATGATTAGTACATGTGTAGGTGGTCATTATAAATTAAGAGCGAGTCCTTTGCATAAAAGAAGATGGAATGAGATGCAACCAGTCAGCAAAAGCAAGGTCTGCAATAAATCGCTCAGCAGCAGCTTCTTCATCTGGACCTCAGCATATTTTAACAAGAAAATATCTGAGAGTACTCTGGGAGCACTCTGCTGCCACTGACACAGGAAAGCGTTAGTGGACACATCACTTCTATTAACCCAAGGGCAAAAACTCCAGAATGGAGTTATCAGTGCTGTCCTCACATTGCCCAGCATCTGCTGCACTATAACAGTTCTCAGTGTCCAACAGCCGAACGAACACATTATCAATGGCCCTGCTGACTAGACTGCTGCAAACTCTCCCAAATGTCATTTCGATGAAAGCAGCTACTGAGGAAAATACTGAACTGGGAGTAGAGGTGACCAACTAAACATCTGAAAGTAATGATTCTGCATATACTGACAGATAGAAGCCTTTATATACTTCCATACATCTTAGTAAAAGCTTCTGTTTGAGAGAGCATATATATGTTTTTATATTATTTTAACTTATAGAAGGTTAGCCTGCTTCTTTTTTATTCTTGATGATAATTAAATGATGATTAGTTAACACAATATTGTGTTATGTGTTACATGCTGAAGAACCTAAACAACACAACCACCCGTGGACAATTTACTGATAGTTTTATGTCCTGTCAAATCACCTTAGGTTCACTGAGGCTTTCCAGTGCAAGGCCTGTGATCACCTGTGATCACCTGTGATCATTTAAGCCAGGATGAATAAGGTTATTCTAGCACGAGACATTTTTTATGGAGATTATCTGCTCATGACTTTTTGGCTCTTTCAAATTGGCTCAGGTTTTACTTACAACGTATAGACTAAAAAGGGTTAACATTTATAGAACTATTAACCACTCTGTGTCATCTGAATGAGTGAAATGTTTTAAATCATAATGTTTCACATTTCAGTATTCTTAATTTTCTTTCCATTGTCATCACAACCATCTAAACAGACCAGTTAGTGTGGATGAGTCTATCCGATTTGGCTAAAAACAAAGATGTCAGCGGCAGCTAAAACTGGTCACTTACTGGTCTGTTCTTCAATTCCTGTAAGCTGTGTGGAAAGCACACGGCTGTATGTATGAGGCATGTCAGTAAGCTTGCTACAAATGTAGGCAGGCGGGCAGGTGGGCACGGAGCAGGAGGAGTGTATCACTCCACTCCTCTGCATAGAAGTGAATGAAGTGAAGCAGTGGAGAGCAGCCCACGGAGAGAGGTTATTAATCTCTGCTGTGCACTGAATTTGTACCTTAGATTTGCTAATGTCTCTGCATCAAAACTCTCAGAAGGAACTGGCGCTGACACCCAAAACCAACCTTGGACTTACTATGCATAAAAGCAGGCCTGTTAATTACAGGGCCATGATGGCTGGGTGGTGTTAGTGTGTTCCTGTTTATCACTCAGCTCCACACTAGTAGGGGCCCAGTGGAACAGTGTGGGTGGTGGAAACAACCTTGAAGAGGCAGCTGCGGAAAAAACAACTGCCACTGTCATAGTCTCTAACTGATAGGCATCTGATGGTCGCTTCAGGCCTCTGTGGGCTCAGGCAAAACTATTTGTTGGCTCTCCATCAAACTAACAGACAAACCGGTACTACCCATCTCTTCTGGTGTATTGCACCAGTGGAGTCAGAAGTCTGAGAGAAGGAGGATGTGGTAGGACTCGACTTAAGCGGTCAAAGAAGTGCAGGAGACTGATGCTGTCCAGTGTAGCAAGTGATTTATTCACCATTTTGTGGCCCAAACAATATTTACAAAGAAACAAATAAGAAACTGAATGTGGCGTGGGTGTGGTCTCTGGCCAGCTGCAGAGGAGGGGTGACGCAGTGAGCTCCCGGGGCGGAGCAGGGGCGGGGTGAACAGGTGTGCTGGGATCTGACAGTGATTGTGTCTCTTTATATGTTGGCAGTGACAGTCGGAGGAAGGGGGCGGACGTGACAGCAGAGAGAGAGAGCGGGAGTGTCTAGTGATGTGACGTTCTGTATCGAGGCTTCGAAGCGTGTGTCGAGTAATGGAGGGGGCGTTTCCGCGAAGCGCGTATCGAGGCTTGCTTCATTTATGGGAGGAGCTGAAAATGATGACGTCCGAAGCCTCGCTGCCCGGCTGTACCACGTGACTGGTTCATGAAGTGGTTCGAACTTTGCCGCGAGATATGACAGCGATATAAACCCCTCAGACTTCATTCAAAATGTGGGTGTTTGATGGAGAGTTGGTTAGTGAGAGTTTGGAGACAGTTTGGAGGTTTATGAGAGTGAGGAGAGAAAGTCAGGAGAGAATGGAGCCAGCTAAGAAGAGGAGGATGTCCTCCCCTGTGTGGGAACATTTTGATCTTATTCCTCCCAACAAGGTATGTAAATTTCTACAGAAGATGTATTTTCATGATACTGATGGTGCAATACAATTTATGTTAAGCTGTCTTGACTTTTGTACAAGGTGAAGTGTTTGCTATGTGCCAGGGAGCTGGGATATAACAACAACACCTCATCCATGCTTAGGCACTACAGAGCTTTGCATGAGAATAAGGGGAAC